ACGCGCGAGTTTCGCTTGTGCGCGTCGCAATGGATACATTTTCCGTGCACAATGGCGCTGCGCGAGTCAGCGTTCAATGGGAGGATCCTTACAATACAAGGTGGCTCACCAAATAATGCAGCCTGATGAAGCGAAACGTAAGAATCACCGAATCACGTTTGCGCCGATTCCCAAACCATCTTGGTACCGTTCGTTCAATACGGTTCTCTCCGGTTTTTTCGACCTCGGGTCTTCGGAAAAGATACCTTTTTCAGCTGTTTACGCAGCGTTACGTACGGCGAGCAAAGAGAAAAGGCAAGGCCGCAGTTAGAACTGCATCGGAGTTGAGTCGAACGACTAAATCAAACCGCGCGCGGAGAGCTCGGAGCGCGCAGACAACGCGGATCAGATAAGTGCAGCCACCTGTTCGAGCGCAGAGGTACGTAATAAGATCGGCGGCGCCGATCACGGCTCGTCCAATTGTTGTGCGTTGCGTGCGGCCGGGAGGTGCCGATCGATCAATTGTGCAACGAGCATTTTTCGTTTGCGCCGCACACCTGATGACGGAGCTCGCTGGCGGTGCATTCTTCCGAATAGGTGCGCGACTCTCTGTATTCGTCCGAGGCTCTTTGCGGCGGCGGCTCGAGCGCGCGCGTCGTAAAAAATAATTGAAAATAAAAAAGCCCGCGTAACGTTTTATCGAACAAGTGAAGATGCAATAACGATCCGACCGAACGTAAAAAAAGTTAACAGTATTCGAGCTCGTTAACGTAACAGTTTCACCTGCCGGCCACTTTTACTTTTAACAGCATCGGGACCGTTAACCGCGAAGGAAAATACAAAAGACGAGGCGGCCGATCGCTCGGCGAATTTTCCCGCGCGACGAACACTCGACGCCAGTCGTATCACTCGACGTCTCCGCGCATTCGGCAGAGACGGCTACGGCTCTAATCCTCAATTTTTCCAATTTTCACGACGCCGCGATCAACCGCACGGCCATTTTACGAGACTTTGAGAGAAATATAGAAATTGGCACGGTGACACGCAGACTAAGACTCTTCGGTGCACTCGATGGGTTGGCCTGCGTACCGTTAGGCAATTTTGTGACTACACGTTTCACGGTTACGGTCGCAGTTAGAGATGTCGCGCGTACGCGTGCACCCACGCTCGCGCACGGTGCGATCCCAAGCGGCCGCGCGGCGACAATCCGAGGCGATCTCGAAGTTGCCGGAGCAGATCTCTCGTCGGAAATTGTACGCCGTCCTTGCCGTCGACCGATACTTCGCGCATCGCATACGAAAGCAGAAATGTGCCACGCGTGAATTGCCGTCGGGAGCAAAGCCCCTCCCGCTCGATCGCGTTGTCAAAGCAATGCGGCAGATCGTTAATCAATCGATTCTCCGCGCGGAGAAGGCGTCGGCGCGATCGCTCCCCGTAATCGTTTAAAAACTAATAGCCGTTACGACAGACTCGTGAGACGGAGAGAGAACAGCCCGGGGGCACGTGAAACGCATCCGTGCCGAATAAAAAGCAGGTCCGCCGCGCGAAATCGGCAATTATCCCTCTCTCTCTCTCTCTCGGTCGGTCGGTCGGTCGCGCGTGCGTTGATCTTTGGGTGTAGAGGCGGCAAAGGTGGCACTGACCTTGCGCCCACTCGACGAGCGACTCGGGTACTGTTATGTGTGATACGCTCCTCTTGGCACACTTGCATTCGTATACGCGCGCCGACGTCGCCGGCGAAATTTTCACGGCGCTGCTATTCGATCGAACCGGCGACGCCGCTGCTTAGCTGGCCCGTTGCATATTGGGCCGCGTAATCCGACGCGTGACGTGCGCTCCTCGCTTCGATGCATCGAGCTTGGTGTTTTTCGAAAGATTGAAGATACCCGGATATCTAATAAACTATAACGCTTTAATGTTACATAATTTAAGTATTATGGTCCTCGGGTATTCAAATAAAACATCAATTCTTTCGTTGTTTTTTTTCCACTCGGACAAATCGATCGTAATCTTTAATAAAGCAGCACAAATTTATTGGAATCGTTCATTGGTACTGCAAGTTTCGAAACACTCGTTATACTTGATGTAATTTTTTAAATGCAAGTAACACGATATCATATCCTTAAATTACTTGCACGTAAAAATGAATAACAGCAGCCGAGATGAAAAAAAAAATATCCTCATTTCTATCAATAACACGAAGCATAAACGTCAATTAAAAATCCAGCAAAGCGCAGAAAACAAAATCCGATAGAACGAATAACGAGCAAATCCCATCCTGGACGCGTGTAATACAGCGAAGTGCAGCGACGACGAAAAGACGCCAAAGCGAATGACCCGTAGATATATGTGAAACGAGAGTACGTTTGGCTGTTGCACGAGCTTCATTAAAACGATGCAATGACTGCTTTGCACTTGAGGATCGTGCGCTAAGTATTCAATCAGCAGCGCGTCCATCGATATAACGAGCTACCGCCATTCGAGCTCGATTATCCGCCAATTATGACCCCCCCCCCCCCCCTATCCCGACGTGATCGCTCTTTTGCAACGTGGCTTTTGAAATAAGCGTCGCGGCGATGCACACTCGCCGATTGTCTTGCCAATGGACGACGCGCGGAGCGCGATGATCGACGCCTCGCGCGCTAATTAATTTTCCCGAGCGATAACGCTTAATTGGTGGCCCAGGGGTGAGCAGCAGCCCGTCGCGACTTTCGCTTCGCCGAGAAACGGCTCGTTCCCATCGCGAGCGGCGCTCGTCGGCGGATTTCGACGCGACCTTGCTCGATCGCGGGACGCCTCATCCTCGCGTGGCGCGGCGCACCTCGTCGCGTTTACCGCAAGCGCGGCGAGCGATCAGCTTTCCTAGATAATGGTCGCCGCGGGTGCGCGCGCGCGCGAGTCGGCAATTTCCAGCTTGCGCCAGCGAGCGACCGCACGCGGACGGAAACAGCGAGAGCTCGGCGAGGCCGATTCGAAAAAGTATCCCGATGCGCGATACTCGACGGCGTTTAATTATTTTATCGCTGCGGAAGTTCGCGCTTTCCTCCTTTCCTTTTCTATTATCGGCGCTTGCGATAGTACGGAATGGGTTTTTTCTTTCGAATTCGCTTCTTTTCATTCGTTGATTACGATTTATTTATATACAAATTGTGTCTGTTAAAATACTCTTTTCTTTGTTGGTGCTGTTGACCTTTCGAGGTGACTGATGTAATAAAATCCGTGTGATATTTTGGCGTTACATTTACAGTAGACAATCTAATTGCACGTCTACAAAAAAGGGACCGAATCTTGAAAGGTCGACTTAATAAACGATTTTTTTAGTGCGGGATACTTCATCGGATAAATGTTCGAAAATTATGAGTTCTTCTGTTTGGACAACGTTCACTTTAACGCGAATCACTGTTTGCGAAATGCAAATGCGTTTTCCACGCGCAACGAAAGATCGGTCGAAGACAGGGGGGACGACAGAGGTAAAAATGTAACGCATTTCGCTGCATTCGACGCAGTCATAGCTCGAAGAGGCCTTAAAACGCGCGCGCACGAGAGAGCAAAGGAAGCAGGGAGCCGACCGACACGAGCACGCGCGGAACACTTCCGCGTGCAGCCGTCGCGGAAGTGCGACGCGCGGCGGCCCAAAAGCGCGCGTATATAAATCGCTTTGCGCGGTAGCCGTGGCTCGTTAAAGGCTCTCGCCATATTCGTGCAAGGCCGGCGCGGAAGGGCTCGAGAAGATCGCAAGCGCGAGCGTTCATTATCGAAGGGCCGCGATCTCGCAGCTGCAGCGGACAATGCCGCGCGCCGCCGCGGGCTTTCATTTTGAGCGCGCTTGGCCTTGTCGCGCTCGAGCGCCGTTACGTAACGCCGCTGCGTCCGCGCCGATCTTGAAATTCCTGCGTGATTGCTTAGATTTCAGAGGGTCCGAGCTTCGCCCCCGGGTTGTTCGATTTATTATTATTATTATTATTATTTTTTTTTTTTTTTTTTCGTTTCCTCTTCGCGGTTCCGAGAAAAGAAGATGCTTCGTGCCGTTCGCGTTTGTTCGCTAGATGCAGATCATCGTGAATTTGAAATTGCAAAAGGTAGCCTTTGCGTTTGCGAATGGAAAGAAAAAGAAACTTCCACGCGTAGGCCTCGGTACGTTGCTTCTTTTTTTTTCCGAAAAAAATTTCCGTTAACAGTTATTAATATCTATGTTTTAGTAACTTGCAATCGTTATTTATTCATTAACGCAAACATAAATCTGACGCTTTAGAGTTGGGTTCAAGCAATACACTGTTCATAGCGTTCATAAAATAGCATCCGGCTAACAAGCCAACGACAAAGTAAGTCCAAACGGATAAATTGTGTCATTGTACTTGTCGTCGGTGGTTACATTAACGTTGTTTCTGATATAACGCTTCGTACTTTATAAACATATAAATAAACCTCGAAAGGATTAAAATAAATAGAAGGATTTAATTTGATGAATTTTGAAGTCTTTGAAAAGTGCAGGTATAATCTTATAAAAACGTACATTGGAAACAATGTATGCTCGATGGAAAATTGTAACCAATAAACAGAATCTTTAGCTCGGTACAATTATCGCTGTTTCGAGAGCATCCCGGTTCGCAAAGAGAAATTCACTCGGGCGCTCCGCTGCTCGTACGCAATACAAGATGTAAAACAGCACAACCAACGGCATTATTTGGCCCAGTGCGCGCGGCGGGCCAACGCGAAAGTCGACAGGGAGTTTTTGGCGGACGCATAAATCTGCTTTTTATCGCTCGTCCAACGCGCTCCAAAAGCGATCGGCGGCAAAAGGCCGACTCGGCCTGCGGCGAGGGGGCTATTAGCGAGGCGCTCGAGGAGCGCGCCAAAGCGCCGCGCGCCGAAAAACGACCGACGTCCCTTGAAAGCCTGCCTCGGACGCGCGAAGCGCTGGCCGCGATGAGAAACGAGTGAAGCTGGCTCGCGGGAGAGAGAGAGAGAGAGAGAGAGAGCTTTTTTTTTCTTTTCTCTTTCGCTAGGAAGGTTCGTCGTACCTGATGATAAGGGCTGGGATAAGCGCCGGGTCTGTAGTAGCCGCTGCCGCCGAGCGCCGGATGGCTCTTGCTACTGCCGCACATGGACGCCATCGTTCAACCAAAATCATAAGCGCACCGTCACCCAAAGCTGAAAGTCAGCAGCCCGTCCGCGAGCTTGCACCGGACCCGAAGGACAAATTAATAAATAAATAAAACTACACTGGGACGCGGGAGACAAGTGGCGCGGGGCTCATCGCGCGGCGGCGCCTCGAGCTCGACGACGTTCCTGGGAGGCAACGGAGGCGCACGACGTACGTGTGTGCGTCCAGCCAGAGAGACGGCTCAGCACCGACTGACAGTCGGCGATGTTCCAGCGCCTCCATTCTTCATCTTCATTCTTTAGCGCTGCTCCCCCCTCCCCCCTCCCACTCGCGGCTACCCTGCCGCCTGCGGTCCACTACCGAACGAGACTCCCGCGAGAGAGAGAGAGAGAGAGAGAGAGAAAGGGACAGAGTGCTTTTTTTTCGCTTCGCTCGGCCGACCGATTATACCGGAAGCTTAGCCGCCTGAAGATATACGCCTTTTTTAGCTCGCTTTAAGCTTCGATCCTCTCCGCGCTCGTGTTCGTCTTGTTCTCGTATGCATACGCAGGACGATTGGCAGCCGGACCCGTTGCGCCGCGGAGTCGACTTTATCGCCAAACCACCATCTAATGCCCCGCGCTCCCGTGAATATTCAAGCCGTTGCTCTTGCCATTATCGCCTCTTTTCCCTTATTTTCGTTCTTCCTCGCTTTCGATTGCTCGCGCGCGGCCGTGTGGCTGGCGCGCGCTTGCCGGAGCGTTTCCGACCGGCCGATAATTGGCCTGGCGAACAGATTCAATATGTTTTTCATTACTCTCTTGCAGATCACGTCAGCGCGAGATCAACTTCATTTTTCGATCGGACGCGTGGCATATTTATCGACTCTTTAGACGCCTCGCGTGTCGTGCGTTAATTGTAGACGACGCGACTCGAGATTTCAGCCACCTTAGCGGCAATAACGTGAAATAAAATATTCTCTCAAAGGTCGTCTCCACGACAATTCCTTTCGATGCGCAATCTTCTTTCGAATTGTACGTTGATTTGCTTCGTCTCGTCACGCGCACACAGCAGAAGCACTCGAAGCGCCAACTTGAAATTTCGCGAAGCGAGAATCCTCAAAATAACAAAGGTCGCGTACGAAATGAAAATAAAAAAAGAGCAAACAGGAACGAGCGGCGTGAACGGTGTGGCGGGTTTTCTCTCGGTAATCTAGTTGGAAACGAGTTCAAGGGAACTGGGTTTTAGGCAAAAAGAACACTTTCTATGCGTAACGACCAGCGGGGACTCTCTCAGGGCTACTCCGCGAAATCGTTAAAACGTATACCATCTGTTCTTGTTGTCGCCGAGACGCTAGCGAGCGAGAGAGAAAAAAGAAAGGTCAGCACAAACGCGCGTCGACAAGCCAGCGGACACGCATCGCTCCCTCCCCTACCTTCCTCCTCGCGAAGTTCCCTCGCATTAGGCGTTGCGTCGCTCGAAAAACGGCGACGCGCGAAAGCTTGTCGTTGCGCGGCACAGCGCAATCGATAGAGGGGGGCATTATCTCTCGCGTCGAGGCACCGCTCGAAAATCAGGTGCAACGAGCCGCGATGTGCCGATGAACCCTGCCTATGCGTATATTTCTCCCTCCTTGCATATGCACTGCTATCCTCTCGACACTTCAATTAGCGTCGAAGCGCGCGCGGCCCTTCTGCGCTCTGCACACCCAACCGCAGACACATAGGAATTCCTGTTTAGAAATACGATCATTTTCCGGCACTTGCATCGTGCTTTCTCCCTCTCCCTCTCTCTCTCTCTTCCTTTTTGCGATGCGTTCGAATAGCTACGCGAAGATGCGCATGGTGCTCGTTGTGTTATTACGATTTCGAAAGAGGCTCGCGCTCGATGGTACGCGGGCGTGTTGCATCTCCAGGCCTCCGCCGCCGCGAGAATACGGAGCGCCGAGGAAAGTTAAATGAAAGAAAAGGAAAAAAACGAGCCGGCAAATGGAAAAAGAAAGAAAAATGCTTTCAATGGGCACGAAGGAAAGCTGCTGCAGCCTGCCATCGGCGGCTCTAGAACGTCAGGGATAAACGCGAGCCGTTGCTGGCTTCTTGCGCCTGTCGCCGTGTACGATCGCTTTTTGCGCTCGGCGAATAACAGAATTTCTCGTGTACGCTAATAACATTGACAAACGTGCGCGCGCACGTGTAATCGCTCATTTGCTCGAATGGCGATGCTGCTGATCGCGTCGGCCAACTTGTTAGCGTTGCGCCCAATCGTCTCCACGTCGCTTTGCTAACTTCGAGCTTCTTACATCGTTAATTCAACCTGGCGCAAACAGTTCTCTTTTTTTTTATTTCTACGTATTATACATTACGTCTTTGAATGCAGACGATTGTTCAACGCGAGCGACGGTTTCTTGAACATAGTTGTATTTTTTTTTTTGGTTTATTTTACGAATAATTTTCTTGATTTTCTTTCAAACGTGGATTCGTTCTTTTACTTTTGTTCATCGGATTCCAGATCTCCTGCGATGTAAAACATTTTGATTCGGGGGGAGGGGGGGGGGGAGAAATGTTTAACCACGTAATTTAAAACTTGAATTTCTTATTTCAAGAAAAACTTTGTTAACTTAAGAAATGCAACAACAGTTATTTCAACGGTGTTGCATAAACATGCAGATTGGAAAAAAAAAAAAAATTTTTTTTTCTCGCGTAAGCTCTGTCGTCCTCTTTCTGCTCATCGGTCCCGAGTGACTCACGCCGCAAAATGAAAAAAACAAAAAGACCAACAGAACTGCTCCGAAATTCTTCGCTGGTATGAAAAAAGGTAGCCTAGAAGCGAGAACCAGCGAAGGAAAAACAAGTCAATCGTCTGATCTCTCACTCATCGATAGGAGCGGCCAATTACGTCGCTTGAAAAGCCACACGCGACCGCATAGAAATAGAGCCGAATACTCGCCGAGTAAAAGGGAACGATGCTCGCGATACGATTGTGATGACAACGATCGATGATGCGCGATTATGTAGATTTAATTGAAGACGAGAGAAGAAAAGAAAAACGTTAGTCGCCGCTCGTGTACGTGCAGTCGCGAATAATGAATTTAATGGCATCGCCGCGCGCACAGCACGGCAGTCTGTGGGAAATCCAGCCTGTAGCTTTTGTTTTCTTTTCAAAAGCGAATATTACTGTGGCTGCATAATCGCGCTTTGCATGTTTGCATAAAAAGACCGCGTGCTTGAATTATTCTTATCGCGGGGAAATGTTGTAATTACTTCTTTTCTTTTTTTTTTCTAGTTTAGATGGAATAGATATTGAACCAAAGGTCATTGGCCCTTATTCGAATCGCATCGTCAATAATTATTCACATCGTCTTTGTACGACACCTGAAACTGGTTTTATTCTATTGATTAACGCTCATTTTTATACCGCATTTTTAATATCACTTGCGTTTACAATTAATTTTACGTATTCTACTCGCTCGAATTTCTGAGCATACGTCTGCGCACTTTGAGTTTTTCTACGTTTCATTAATTTTAATCGATGTTCGGTTTACAGTTCGAAACAGACGTTAACACGGCTGTAATAAATCACGAGTTTAGAAGCCTTGAGAATTTTGATCTACTCGAGTTCCACTTTCTTGTTGTTCTCGCGCTAAGAGCTGCAGTCGTGGCCAATACAGTAGTTTTATGGCTTTTCGATGCGTCGAATCAGGCCTGCATTTTTTCGACGCTGGTTGACACTTGTTTTCGGGATGACTGTTGTAAGCCAGTCGGTTAGCTGACGAACTTGTACGTTCCCAATTGTAACGCTCATACCTCTGAATAAACTGACATTGCATTTTATAGTCACTAGTCCTTCAGAAAGTAAAATTCACTCTCCGCCTGGATTAGTTTTCAAATGAATCCTAAATTGAACGTTGTATCAACATTGTTCACACTTCGACTATAATTGAAACTTGAAATTTAAATGTTAAGCAAGTGTGAAAGAAACTCGTGTGTCTTATATTATCAAGGTAGAATCGTTTAAGATCGAATGATATACATCAGCGCCCGCAAATCGCATTATCTGGCTCGCGCGTGCTCCGTTGATAGTTCATTAAATGCCAGAAAAAATAAATCAGATGGATGATGAAGATTTTGATGTGCGGTTGAGTGATTCATTACGCAAGTGGAACTGCTCTTTGTTGCGATTTCACATTAACTTGCGTAAATGTGTTCCGCGTCGCATGTGCACGGCACGCGAACGGCGTTCGAAGCGAAGCTTGATACTAGATACGTATGTGATGTAATGGGGATGAAAATATGCTTGCTCGATGGAAAATCATTATCCAGCGCCGAGGAGCGGGCTGCAAGGACTGAAATAAATTTGGACGTTATTTCCGGGCATCCGAGATGCAATGCTAACCAGACGTTCGGCTCGGAGCATTTTTTGTTACGCCGTTACTCGAAGAGCTGCAGGCAAGCAGGATCGATAAGTGTGTCAAATGGCTGTCTAACGGCGCAGTGCGGCAGGAAGGCTTTTGCGTAATCGTAAAATTTGGCGTTACGCGGGGCAGCGGGAATCTCATCGAAAATTCAAAGCAGCGAGGCTGAAGCTGCGCGAGCGTTCCGGTTGCCACGGCTCCGCTGCTCTCGGAGCACTTGTATAAAGGTCGCGTAGTGGATTATCGCATACCGTTACATCAGATTCCCTTCTTCCACTCTCTCCCATCTCGTGTCGCTGATCTTTCCCTGCGTTCGCGCTTCGAAAATGAAACTCGTTTCCCGATTATCTCGGCCTTTTTATTTCTTACTGATTTTTTTTTTCTCCCCACCGGTTCTGCCGATAATTTCGGAAATTGATGTTGTTTATCGTAATCGAAATCGGTAAGTCGAACTCTTCGAAAGATTATGGAATATTCTATTTCGCTGGCGAAAGGAAAAATATTCACGAGCAAGCATGTTGTCGTGATATATATTTCATTGTTACGCAATCATTGCAATCGCTGCCGAACAATAACTTTTATTAAAGAACTTGTATTAAATTTGTAATCTTCGCCAATGGATCTAAAATGTTTACTTTTCAAAGTATGGGGCTATTATTATTCAATATCAGACATTTCCACTCGACTGTGCCTGATGAATGTGTACACGCATCAATTAACTGTCTTGATTATCACGAAATCTGTTGAATACGTAACCCACGTTCGAAGGCCCGCGTGCACGGGATAATAGACGAGGGAAGAGGAAAAAAAGCCGTTGTCTCTCGCTCGTCGAGAAGGTGTCTCTCGCTTTCATTAGGCTGCAGTTGCACGGCGGCACCTGCGAAGGCGGCCGCTCGTACCGTTACGGGAAAACAGCCTGCCACCCGCGCGCGCGTCCTCGTGAAATTTCAACGAGTCGACCGCGATGACCGCGAACGAGCGGATTATTAAGATGAAATTGTCGCGCGCGCGCGCACCACGCCTTTCGTCCGCTCGCGGGCGGCTCTCGTGTGTTATACCGTTTTGATAGCGCGGCAGGCGAACTTCGCTCGCGGAAACGAGTGGACGCGCGGGCGTTGACAATGCAATGCCTCGCGCCAGAGACCAAAACGTTCTCACGTTATGGTTTTTCTTTTTCTTTGAACTGGATCGAGGCTAAAAGCCAAGCGGTTCTGCGGAGTCGAACGGGGGTCGCAACAAAAGCAACTTGCCTTTGTGCGATTTAGGACGCGTTCTTGTTTTTCCGTGTTTTTATTCGGACCTAACGGGGCGTACTGGTGGTACAATGTAATTGAAAGATCGATGTTCTGCAAAAACATTAGGTTGTACGGACTTTCGATGAGTTAGCGTTTTCTCTTTCTTTGATATTGGATGTATCTTGCCGATTCAAATCTATCTGTTAAAATTAAGATATCGATCTTATCTTCGAACAGTGGAACAAAATATGAACAAATGAAATCGTTTTTATAATTTATAAGTCATTTGAATTTTCCATATATAGCTCATGATACACAATGAGATTGTCCAGTCGCACAGTTAACAAAAATAAAAAAAATATGTATTTGATTTATAATTTTCATGCAGGCCGAGAGCTTCTCGCGAAACACAAGCACACACATCAAAATAAGTTATTTCGTCTTCGAAAATTATTTTTTATACAGAAACAAATGAGCGACGGTCGACAATAGCCGCAGCACTATCCGCCCTTATTCCATGTAAGTGGGTCATTGTTATGTCGACCAAAAAAGGCTCGCCACGAGCGTCTGGCTGTGCACGAGATTCCGTGGCGCTTTTTCTGCGGCGAAACTCTCGCTCTCGCCCAGCTATTTAGGCCTGTACATGGGATACCGAACCCTCGTAGAACACTGCTTTTTTCCTTTCTTTTGCTTGTTTACACGCGACACTAACGAGCTCGCTACTTTTTTTATTTTGTTGGTCGGCTTTGTTTCGTCCCCGTGCTGCTATTCATTTTTGTTAGCGTGTGCTCAAACTATTATTGTTTATAATGTGATATGTAAAGAACGAAACCTATTTTTCAACGTAAAAGACAGACTCAAGTAATTTAATTAATAAACATATAAAAATCATATATATAATTGCTAAGATTGATTAATTATTAATTATTACTTAATCCTTTATCATGGCTATGTTATTAATCCACACGTTAAGAAATATTACTATGGTATATTTTAAGTTGATAAATGAAATGATTAAGTAAAAAAAATATTCCAACAAACAAACTAATACTGATAAACTCTATTCTATTTATTCGAGTTTACTCGATAGGTTGAAGTCAGCTGCTGACATATTCTTAATTTAATCGCAATGCAGTGAGTATAATATGATTAGTACAATATGTACACGTATATAAAATTAAATTAATTGGTTAGTGCATAATTGAGAGAAAGTTAAATATGAATTACAAGAGTGGAGAAACGAAAGTTATTCTGCTCGGGAGTAACAGTTTCGCAGATCATTAATGCGACTATTTTCACAATAATTAAAGTATTGGCGATAAGAATGTCGCCAAGTTAATTCACACTGATACCTGTTGATTTCGTCGGTTGATTGTTTATTCTCACCCTCACGCCATTCGGGTGGTACCGTCCATTCACGTAACTACTTTTACAGTATTTAAAATACATCGGGCCACTTGAATATGACATAGATCGCACTGAATCTTATACTTATAGCATTAACTTGTCCGTCGCGTAGTGCATCGTTAGTACTGAAAGGATAAAGTCACATGTGTAAAAACATGACAGGTTGACGACGTAAACAGAGGCGAAAGAACGTCATCGTTGGAATGAAAGAATTCGATAAATTCTTAAAACATCGGCGTACTGTGAATGTAGCATTGGCTCGTTAATTAAAGAACACGGAGAACTGGAGCGTTTTGTAAATTCGTTTGAAGAAAAATTCGGGGCTGAATTAAGTTGCACGAAGGCGGAATAACAATTCGCTCTTGAAGAATATTTTTCTGAATTTGTACTTTCTGAATCTGACAAGAGAGCTTGATTTTGCTTCTGATGCCAATATTTTGTATGAGAATCAATATGAACGAACTCAATAATAGCAACTAAGATAAGCGCTTATCTAAGCGTCTATATTCGATGGTGCGATAGGTAGTATATATTTATATAACATGATATTTAATTTAGATAATGAAGCTGTGCTTATTTAGATTGTACTAATAACGTGAACTTATAAGTACATATAAATAACAATAACAAATATCATTCTCTTCATCAATGCTTTGATTACTGTCGAGATTATATTGATTCCAATTATCTTTGGATATTTATTATGATTTACCTGTAATGAAGGTTATCCTTATGGAATTAAATAAAATTAAAATTAACCTAAAATTATTTAGTTTTTATATAATAATTTTGTTAATTTACTTCAGTGGGGCAAACCCGGAAAATAATAAAGATTGAAAAAATAAAGGTGAAAATAAAACGAAGCATAATGATTTTTTTAATTGCCTACTTGTTCTTATGTATACATCACAGAGTTTCTTATTTTTTAGTAATATTTTGTTAATATTTTCTCGATTACTGGTGTTCACTATAATTATTTTTATTAAATATTAGATATTTTGTTTTCATTCTTTTATCCTTAATTTATAAACGGTAGCTCTCTTGAATAGCGTGTGTTATTCAAAGGCGTGTGTTTATATACTGCTATCTCGGTATTCGGGCTTCGGCCCAGTTCAGTGTGTTGTAAACTATAAGTGTTTGTGTTCAATCGTGTTAGCGATTGAGTCGCTTTCACGTTAAAAAAATGGGTGAGCCCTCAACCTTTCACCCCGAGCTTCCCGCAGTACCTGGGGGTAAAGCTCAACAAGATATCATTTCGTTTAATTTAAATGAATTCAAAAGTTCTAGTTATGCAAGTGTCACAGAAAATATGTGTATCTCTAAAAGAGAGCAGTGTTTAGTGATGATGTGTGAAGATGGTTTAAATCTTGGTGATTACACCAATGCAATTCTCGATAAAGTTAAACCAGAGAACATTATTTTTGTTTCTAAAGTTTCAAAAAATAGGATTCATATTTATTTTACGGACAAAAACTTTGTTACAAATATTACAGAAAATCAAGATTACTTAACTATCAAAGACAAAAAAGTCTATATCAGACCGTTAATCTCTAAATATAGATCCGTATTTATTTTTTTCATTATAATCTTAGAAAGTTTCTTTTTGATTTTCTTTTTTTTACCAGCTACTATATATTAGGAAAGGTTATATATTTTCTTGATAAATTTTAGCAACAAAATAATTAAATTTATTTTTACAAGGAATAAGGATCTTACAGTAAAAAATGTCAAAAAATATGTTACTTAAAAGATTGATTTGGCAACCCAAGAAATCATCTACCTACTCATCGAAAAATCCTAAGGTATCCATTTCGCGTATTACTTGGTATATGTTGGGTACTTTTCATCATATGACAAGTTCATAATTGTATCTAGATACTCCTCAAGTGGAGGATTTCCACCGAATTTCTTTATTTCTTCTCTTATTTTATTTTCAAGTGATCTTGTTGTATTTATAGCGAATTCAATTGATCCAAGTTTTTCGAGTAAAGATAAACAATAACTCAATGTTGCTACATCTTTTGTTTTTGAACGTAGAATGTCTAATTAATATTTGTAAGGAAATTCATTACTGACATTTGAAACAATAGTATCAAATCACTTTTTATGCAAAAACAAAGTGTTTCGTGACGTAAAGGATACTGTGTACAGTTTGCCCTTCAAATGTCCCACTGCGAACAGCATGGATAGTTGGGAGTGTGAATTTTCCTTCAGAAATATCTTCAAGGTAAGATTTTGCATTCCATGTCTAATTAAATATGAAATTAACGGACATGATAATTTCAGTTAATATTCTTTTCATGTTGAATTATTAAAATATAGAAGATATTAAAATATAAAATAACAATAAACAAATAACCAAACACCTTTTGCTCGCTCATATTTGCAACGTCGTTGATGTATTGGCAATGAAGACTGAATAAATGCAAGAGATGAGTATAATCAGTCTTAGTATCGGACAATACTTGCATCATTTTGATAGGCAAGCCTGCTATTCCATCACATTCTGAAAATTAATTAATTATTTGAATAAATGCATTAAATATCCCCCCTAAACGATAGTGTAACCCATGAAACAGCATGAACATTTACTAACTATCGCTACTTATTATAACTAAGAAGAAATGCACGATTAAACTATTTGAATTCGTTATTTACGGAAATTTATCACGCATTTATCCCAGTATCAAATTATACCTATACAAATGGAAGTTAATAATCTACAGAGCTTTCGAGTTCTGAGATGACTGGAGCATTACGGGCTCAAGTTCTTTAGAAAAAATGTTAAAATTCTAAATATCCTTGTCGATCAAATAGCTCAAAGAAGTGAATAAAATGTACAACTTGCATAATTATTCAGAAAGAAATGCAAAGCTTTGGTGTAAATAGTCAAATGTCTTAGGCTGCTTGGTCAAAAAGAGCTCCAAAATTTCGAGTCGGTTTAGAGCTTGAAAGCTCCGTTAGGTTTTCAGAAAATCACTTACTATTAATACATGTCTCTTCGAATTCACTTAAAGTTGGACAAATCATTTTTTTCGTATTGTCGGTCTCCTTATATAATCCAACACAATACATAATCATACTGTTAATATATGTTTCTACAGCCTGCGGATGTTCAAGAATCAAATGTTGTAATCTTGCGATGGTCACAAAAATCATTTGTGTGGAAAATATAAAATTACCTTCGGGTTGTTTAGTTCTGATATTCTTTTCAAAATTAGGAAGAAAACTCCTTGGCTGCAAATAGCTGTACGACCAATACCCAATAGCTGAGGACTTGTCAGCAAACCTCTTCGAGAGTGTGATTCGTCGACAATGTCATCCAATCTATTAAATTTCAGCAATTAATTTTTAAAATATTAGTTTTAAAATGCTACTGTACAATAAAAAATTTATACATACAAAGCGCCAGCTTCGTATGCCGATACCCATATGTTATTGACAAACTCTATGACGTCACTTGGTAATTTCATCCAGTAATTAAAACCTTCCATGAGGCCGTACCCGAATCTTTCATTTGGCACGGATAAGTAGTAATTATAAGGGACGAGCATATTCTGTTAGAAAAATAGTTAGTACGTTTCTTTTTTCGCAAAATTATTTTTTAAACGTGAATGGCAAGTCGACTGAGCTAAATCAATTTATAGGAGTTACTTCTTACCTCAATATCTGCTTTAGATAGATCTTTCGTTTGCAATGCTACGAACTTTTTATGACCTTCATTGCGGAAATTGGGCTTTGACTCGAATGATCTGCAGCATATAATGTGTTGCAGATTAGTTTTAATAAATTTTAAGTGAATAATACTCATTGATAGTATAAATAACAATAATTTTGTGTAGTTCTTCAAATGCTTACCTTTTAAAAACTTTTCGTTCTTCAAAAATATTGTTGCTTGCGGTAGTACATAATCGAAAATTCGTTAATGATGAGTAATCGCTAGAACGTAAATTACATACGTAAATTTTGATTTGAAATTTGAAGAAGTATTTAGCCGGTGCAATATGCGTATTCTTCTTTTCGAAAATTGAAATAATACAACGTAATAATAATAATATCAATAATGATAATATTATATACGTTAATATAAGGTAAAAAACAGTTTCGTCAATTGTCGAGCAGAATAGTTGTCACATTCAAAAAGTTAACCAGAAATTAAAAAATTTAATAAAAACAATAAATTGAATCATAAAAATATAACTACATACCTTTTCGAAAAAACTGTAAGGCCTACACGAGCTTTTATAATACTGGAAACGAGGAAACGGGATAGCACCATTGCAGCTACGATCTGAAGACAGATATACGAGATTAAGATAGGTATCAAAGTTCGATTCGTAAAATATAATAAGGAATTCAAAAATTACAATTTTAGATAGATATATGGTTATAGAGTTATTTTCATTAACTAATGTAAACAACAAATACAACGATTTGACTTAGAACACTGTTTATAGTAAGCAGATTTTATTTCAAACATTATCCATATTAGCAAAGTATCAAATACATATGTGTGTTTTTCATAACACTTGATTCTTTATGGTCGTTGCTGGAGCAGTACTTGTAAAATGCAATAAATTATTTATCCAACACTCATGATACTTTTGATAGTGCTTTTGACAGTACGTCTCTGACATTACGGGAATGTGAAAATTTAGTGAGTTAGGTACGTACTTTTTTGTAGAATGAAAGGCTACAGGAAAGTTTTAAAGTATAAAAAGTACGCGTATGATTAATATGCCTATAGACCGAGTAAAAATTTTATTACACATTTTTAATGAAGACTAGAGGGTAATCGTTATCTAACAATAATTTTTTGACAATTTTCGCATGATCTTTATGATCTTTTTCAGAAAGTAAGATAACCCCCACTGTTATATGACATATAATAGTGATAAAAAATATAAGAAAGTAATAGGAATATTAATTATCAAGCATCTCAGTCGTTGATTTCAGAAAGAAAAATTAATAAATTTACATGTATAAGTTTTTGAAGTCTGTGATGATGAATTATCATCAAAATGAGGATAAATTTTTATATGTACTTACTGAGGACGATTGAAAATGAACCGATCACAAAGTTAATTTACAACTGGTTGATTAACAAATGGATTTTAATTGACAGTTTACCAGAACAAAAGTCCTCGCACAAGACCCCCAAGCGGAGAGAGAGAGAACGAGAGATTAGATTAAATTATAATTTTACTGTGGCGTTTCCTCCTTCAATGACAACTTCGAAATGTAAAGAAAATTATATCCATTTAGGAACGATAAGAAAGAGTTGATGAATCGCGATTGTATCCAAGGTTCAAAAATACAAAATTTAGATCAAGAGTTGCGATGTGCCTAATTAATTCGATTCAGTTGCCGTCAGGATTGGACACACACCAATGTAGTCAGCAATGTTCCTACGTGGCGTCGATACTCACATTACATTTTGTTAACGTCAATTCAACTTATGTTGAGACCTCAAGCAAGATCTAGTACTCTCAAATCTATAGCTTTGCTGAAGATATAGGCATGCTTTTTCAATATTCACTTCAATTTCGCGGGATCAGAGGAAAAATGTGTAATTTGTTGATTGAATTCAATACCAAGTATACTTGTGACTAAACAATCAATTTTACATTTAGGCACAAATTTGCGCGTTAGAAAATTAGGTAATTTGATTGATTACAATCGAAGTTAAATTAGACAAATTGCTACAAATATCCTAATTATTTAAACAATTTAATATAATAATATATTTAAAAAGTTATACTTTCCATCAAGTTATGATTAATTAAAAAATCTTTTTAAGTTTCCTCAAACTAGTCAGAAATAAAAAAAAGATTTATTTTAAAATTATTAAGTTTGGTTAAAGTTTTTTAAAACTTTTATCAAATTTCCGAGTGGTAAGTAAAAAAATTATATGTACATTTTATATTTCACTAAATTTTTTCCAAATTCTATCCAAACTTCCCAGCGGAAAACAAAAAAAATTACTTTAATATATATTAAGTTGTCCAAACTCTAAACAAATAGTTAAATCGAAAATGGAAAAATCACATCTTGCAATTTATGTTTGGTTAACGTTTTGCACATGACTGCTTATACTTAAAGGTTTGCATTGAATAATTCCTTTATGAATATTGTTATTGGGTTCCATATTTTCTTCCATGATTACTGTCTTTTTTAATAAACATTTTAACGTCATTATGTTTTACATTCTTTTAAAAGATAAAGTGATTGATGGTTCTTTTATTCGTTCTATAATTTTTTGATACTGTGTTAATTACCTGTTATCATATTTTATACATCTTATCCATTTATGCCTTTTTTGTATCATGATGGATTTCGATCCCAGGACTATGGAATAGTCCATAATCTCAGTCAATAATAATTATTATCTTTCGATTTATTGTTCTTCGTAATGTCATTAGAACAAAAAAATTAAGATATGCTTCTTCGTTCGTAAACTTTAACGAATGTTACCTATTGACGATCGAGAAGACTGACCCTCACAAGTTTCATAACTTCTGTTTGATTATAGACTTTCAAGTGATAAGCATCAAGTTTGAAACATCGCTATGTATATAATAGCTTTTAATGCGTATACATTTTTAGTCTAACTAACAAAACAAAAAATTACAGCCTACAAGTAAAGTTTTTTCACAATCGCCATAGCAAAAATTCCACTTTAAGGCAACATTTCAACTAAGCTTTCGAAAGAAGTGTAAATTGCATGCAGAATTGATACTTCACTAAAGTTTGAAAAAATCGTATCCAAGCTATCGAATGACATAAATAAAATGAAAAACAACGTTATCAAATTATCATCAAAAAAGGTTGGCTATGATATCGTTCAAATTTAACACAAAGAAACCAGCTAACTAAGCATGTTTAGCACTGTCTCCCAAGCTTCATTCAACGTAAATTTGGTGAATGTTTGTTAAAAATAATTAGCGTTGTACGATATTTCGTCAATACGTTTGCTCCGAAGAAAAATTCGAGACTCGGTTAGCGTACCAGTCGATCATTTCGGCCCTAACGGCGCACCTCGACCCGTACATTGCAACAGCAGGCAGCAGCGGGAGAAGCGTACAGCACGGTCGTGTGAAAAATTCTGCGATAAATCTCTCGCGAGCAGCAGAGAACGCGTCTTTGCCCCGCAGGAGACTCAGCTGTCGGATAAGAGCCATTATTTATTCCAGCGAGTCCGGGGCCCTTTTTGCGATCGATAAATTTCGCTACTCTCGTACACACGTACGACGCGTCGCCTCTTATTCGCTTGTATACCGATTTGTCTAGCGATACTCGCGAGAGGCTCTCTCGATTTTTATTGGCAAGCGGATGCTTTGCACGCGATTTGCCGTGCTGTATTATTTTCTTTTTTTTTTTTTTTTATCAAACAACTGCTCTTTAGTATCATGAACTTCCCCAAATATTGGTCCAGGTATAAAATCTGACAAAAACTTTTATTCAAATAATTTATCATTATTCATAATTTACAAGTTATCGAAATGATTGTAATAAACACGAGGTTTGCATTAAAATTAACAAATTTAAAAATTACAAGCAGAGCAATTATTTGACAAATATGATGGTGAGTGACAAAACAAATATTTCTCGATGATTCTTGTTCGTATCTAATTTTAGAAAATCATACAATACGTGCTTGATCTGATAAACAGTAAAGATAATAATAATCCATAAACAAATTCAAATTACAAGTACACTGTTATAAGGAAGTGATTCCAAAATCTACCTAATTGCTTCAAACACAATGTTATATTTCCCAATAAAAATATTGTTCTGAATGAAGTTTGTTAACTATCTAAATAAAATATTGAATTCCAACTTAGTTTTGAAGCAAAGATCACATATTATACATTATTCTTTGGCACACGCACACTAGGTCGTGTGTGCGATTTCCAGACATGTGAACATTTTCAGAAATGAATTGTTTTTGCTTGTTACCTCGAGTTTGGTGGTCGGATTCCATTTAAACTGTAGGCCCCGTCATGATGTATATAAGGAGACTTTGCCATCCACACCTTTCCATAAGTGGTGGGGGAGACTGGTCTGGATGCCTCCCGTTGCTACAGGGAATGCGTACAGATACCTTGCGTACCTCTGCAGAGTTCAAAATGAACTCGGTTCTTAAAGTAATAACATTAACTGTTCCGCATAAGACATATCTGACAATATTTGTATTTATCTATCGAGCAAACTTAATTAATACAATGGGATGGCTGTTAAGGTGGTAAACAGACATGGGACAGTTTGATTTGAATGAAACTTTAGAAAAATACGTCTTATTAAAAAAATATTTATGTAAGGACTTTTGCTAAGGCTCTTTCTATATAGGGTCTTATGAAAAATTGAAAATCCTTATTTAACAAAAATGTTGAATATTTTTTTCGCGAGTTTATACTCAATTTCGAAATTCAAAAGTCAAAAAATTTTTATATCGTTAAATTATTAGAAAATCTAAGTCGAACGTTGTATTGTTACATTTAGTTTAGATTTTTCTTTGAAAATTGAGTTTATTGGCGAAAATTATACAGTACAAGTCATAATTTTTACAAAAGATATAACATTACTTTATCTTTTAAAGCTTTAACATTGCTTTATCTTTTCAGAGTTCCATGAATCGGTCGAATATCTAGAGCAAACATCAAGAAGACACTTTCGTGTAAATGGTCTCTTGATTATTTAGGATTACAATAAGAGTGTTGTGGTTCATTAACGGGCCACCAATGTCACCCCATAAATATGATTTTTAAAAGTTTCTAATTCTAATAGAAATGCTAAAATCATATGATAATTCAAATATAAAATACTTAAAGTGGAGAAACTTTTAGTACAAATACCTGCAGCAGTATTGGGATAGTACTACGCATACGTGTTTGTTGTTGAATGGGTACGATTCCTATTTTTGAGCATAAACGTTACTCGCGACAAGAGTCTTTGAGTAACACGGTTTTTCATCTTCATAGCTACCAGTTTCTTTTATTATTATAATTTCAGGCCGATAAGTGTAATTAATAACATTCTATCCAAAGCCAGCTACGTTCGCCACGAAGCTTTCATAAGTGAATTCACGGAGTTGATTTACACAATACATAATCAATGATCGAAAGATAATTATTATCATTTTATCTAGATTAATTATGTATTAAGTGCTTTTTTGAAATCTTTTTTCAAAAAATTTTCCGCGTAAAAATATGGAACTGTTTTTTATAAATTTGAAAAAGCTACATACTCCCTTTTATCAAAAAAAATATTATTTCAAATACAAAATGTTAATAAGAGCGCGTTATTGAAGTAAATGGTAGTAATGAAATCATCTACTTGAAAATGATAGATGACGTAATGTTTCCTTGTTTATGCATTTATACCTTTTTATCTAGTGACGTCGCGCAAGTCCGTAAGATATAAAGTAATTCTAAGTTTCATACCGAGTAAGTCAATTTGTTATTATTGTAAAAATATGCAGAACCGAAGATATGACAAAGATATGATTATTACTTCAGGACGGTACACCGTTACGTACGAGAACGCATGTCACCCACATAATTGTCGGCCTTCCGTTTTCGTATTAATTTTCCTGTAACTTCGGTTCTAATAAATATTTTTGGAATCTGAAAAACCCATAAATTCTTTGGAAAGTAACGAATTTAGTTAGTTGATGATTTCTGTAACATAATTAGAAAAAATTTTATAGTGGGATATGCAATAAAGTCACGTGCTAGCATCAGGTTTTGTTATAGTTGAATGATCATAACTTGATTCCTAATTATTATTTTTTTAATCTTCAAAATCTCACAGACATGTTATGAGATTACGTATCATTTTTTGTTTTCAAAATCAATTAATGCAATTCTATCAACAAACAGGTTATAGTGTTATAAATAATTAAATTGTTAATTAACGAACGAAAGTTTTCTCGTTTAACTAAACATCCTTGAAATTTAGTTTCAAGAGTTTAATATTACGTTTAGAAGGCTTGGGTATTTAAGGTAACATTTGCGCAATGCATTTTTTTTGAAAATTCGCATTCCGATCGAATATCT